ACATCAGCGTTTTCTGAGTTCATAGATAAGTTTTCTCTGATATTTTAGTAATTTTACTTGATGTATTGTGTTGGAAGAACTTTGAAACACTGGATGACCCACTTGAGATACTTCCTACAAAACAAGTTTCATTTAACTAGTATAATTTCATAGCTTTCTCTTCATCTCATGGCTGCAAAGTGTTATACAACTGAGGATTTGGTAATCTTGTCATACTATTTTTTCTACAGTGCTTTTGTCATTTGAATCCAGTAAGAGTTCTCTTCGCGGTATACAATAAGAATTTTGATGCAAAATAACTAATGGCAGCTGACAAATTTTTTTTCTTGAATTTTCCAACAGTTATCTTAAAGAGAAATTATAGGTTAGGTGGTTATTGCTAATGATCCATTTTTTTTCATCCTGTCTTTCCTTGGATCGTTAAAGTGGACTTTACTTGATTCAGAGTGATTTCGTAATACGCACCGTGACAATAAGGTGACTATATAACATCTTTCTAGTGCCAAGGACTATGGGATTATTAGAATTCTGTATATTTGAGGGTTGTCATTCTAGAGATGAATGAATTACATACATTTCTTCCATATTTTCAAACAGTTCCTTGAAAATGTTTAGCGAACCTACTAAGACTCGATGTACTTTGTTGACATTTGGCTTGTATTTATTTTCCATAAACTGCGTAAATTCAAGTACTATGGTCTACAGATAGTGCCAATAGAAATTGAAATCTAAGTATGTGCTCTTTTTGCCGATTTAGGATGTGGTCTGTTTTCGTGTGTTCTTACTAAAGTAATTCTGCATCATTTCCATTACCTTTGTATTCTGGATGTGCTGTGGTGACATTTTGGCTTGTCTTTATTTGCTATAAACTGCAGTCCTATGGTTGTATATAAAACAGTGAAGATAGTGCTCTTTTTTCTGATTCAAAATGTGGCTTGTTTTCATGTGTTCTTACTAGAGTATTGCTGCACTGTGTCCGTTAGCCTTGTATCTGCATAACTTTCTTTGTGAATTTACGAATCTTTTCTACTTCTCTGCTTTTCCAGGCCGTGTCGGTAGGGAGGCGAAGATTCAGTGCGGAGTTTCAGCTTGTGTTCCGGTTGATAAAGGGGCTTATCTTCATAGCCTTTGTCTCCGTTCTGATCATATTGATAGCTATCGCGCACATGACGGTTCAAGATATACTTGTTTGCTTCCTTGCCTTCATGCCTACTGGATGGAGTTTGCTTCTGGTAAGTCAAACCACACCGACTCTTCCCATCCATTCTACCTTAAAACACCAACTTGTGGAACTGATACATGTCATACTTGTCAGATTGCACAAGCTTGTAAACCTCTTGTCCCTTCCAACTTCTGGGGATCGATTAAGGCACTTGCACGAGGCTACGAAATCATCATGGGTCTGCTCCTGTTCACTCCGATCGCGTTCTTAGCTTGGTTCCCATTTGTCTCTGAGTTCCAGACAAGGATGCTGTTCAACCAGGCGTTCAGTAGAGGTCTGCAGATTTCCCGCATTCTCGGAGGGCCCAAGAAGGATCGGTCATCGAAGAACAAGGAGTAGACCTTCGCTTGGAAGACCATTCTCTTTTGTGATCTTCGAAGCGTATTCGACTTGAGCTGGTGTCTAACTCATGACATGTATCTATCAGTCGTTTGCAATCGTGTTTTAGCGATAGATTAGGATTATGGTTTTGTTGTGACGATGCCAGGAGTTACTGTGATGTGCATAGGGCTCATTCTCAGATACGTAATAGTTCTGTTGATAGAGGCCTCCATACGGTCCAATTTCTGCTGAATTTGCAGAGACCACTTTTGTCCATAGAAAAAGAAAGCCAAACCTCCCGTCCATATAAAAAAAAAAATTGAGAATATAACGAAAAATGAAAAACCGAATGTGTTTGTTAATATCTTTAGGTAGTAAGATGTTCAAAATTTTTGGAGGGTTCTGTCTTGGGTGTTGGGAAAGCCCATGGAAGAAAGTTTTGGAGACAAAAGTTGTGCACATCAAAACTCTTTAAAAAAAGTTGTTAAAAGGTATTTTATACGATGATAAACAAAAGGTAAAAAACAGATGATAGACAATCAAGCTTTTGATAAGAGTTTTTGAATGAACTATACTGATTTGATGATAAAGTTCAAAAAAGGGTATTTTTTTTTGTTTTTTTTCAAGAGCGTTATATTTTGCTTTATTCTGAAGAGTGTTTTTTTACTTTTCTAGAAAATGAGATTATCCCTACCTTTGACTAGTCGATCGCACTCGAGCCATCGTCGATCGTGTCCTTGTCGTCTAGACTTTCGTCTTTGTTGCGATCATCAATACTCGCTCTCGTCGATCGTGTCCTTGTCGTCTAGACTTTCGCCTTTGTTGCGATCATCAATACTCGCTCTCGTCGATCGTGTCCTTGTTGTCTAGACTCTCGCTTTTGTTGCGATCATCAATCTCGGACAATCGCAATAGTGGTAAGGGCTTAGGTAGTTTTTATTTATAATATTTATTTTATACGTTATTTTTAATAATATACGTCCTTAAATTGATATATTACATTAACAGATCACATTCCAGTGAAAATATATTTATTGTATTTTTTTTTATTATGAATCGTCTTTTTCTTTTCCTCCCACAAATTCTTCTGTTTGTAATCTATGTTTCTTTTTCTGTTGACACCGTGCTGGCGACTTAATAACACGTCAGGGATCCGGACCAAAACTATTGTTAAATCTGAGCCGATGATCCGTAATCCAACGGTCCCAATCCACAGTCCATGGATCCTAAAAAGGCCTCGGATTCTCCCGCCGAGATGCTTCACCCATTCGAATTCCAAACGCGCGCCTTCCCCCAATCTTGGCGTCTATATTAATCCCCTCTTACCTCACTTTGATCTCATCCAGCATCGAATCTCCTCATCTTCTTCTCTTCAGCCCCTAATTTTTCCGAGTGGTCTTCGTCCAATTCGGCCATGTCGGGGCGCGGGAAGGGAGGCAAGGGGTTGGGCAAGGGCGGGGCGAAGCGCCACCGCAAGGTCCTTCGCGACAACATCCAGGGCATCACGAAGCCGGCCATCCGCCGCCTCGCCCGCCGTGGTGGCGTCAAGCGCATCTCCGGCCTCATCTACGAGGAGACCCGCGGCGTCCTCAAGATTTTCCTGGAGAACGTCATCCGCGACGCCGTCACCTACACCGAACACGCCCGACGTAAGACCGTCACCGCCATGGACGTCGTCTACGCCCTCAAGCGCCAGGGCCGAACCCTCTATGGCTTCGGAGGCTGAGCGCCGTCCCTCCATCAAGAAGTGGTGGAATTTGGAGTCTGGTCTGGTCGATTGGAGAAGAAAACGAAAGTAAAGAGAAGCCTTTGGAAAGTGGAAGCTATGGTTGAAGATTTGTTGCTGTTTAAAACATGTGCTAGATTTGCAAATATGACTACATGTGATCATTGACTATTCTGCATGAAAAGTCCCTTCTTTCCTTTATGTGATTTCAAGTTATCCTCAATATGACTGACTACATGTGCAGTATGAACTGTTCAATGATTGAAGCCGCTTGTTTGGTTCATATTTGGCTGAGCAAACTTTCTCATCGTATTATTGCTGAAACCTTAGTCGACTTTTTTTGGGTCAAAAGATTATGATTGCCAATGGAAAGTTGCAATCAGAAAGTGAGATTTTGTTATGATTTGGATGGTGTTTTACTGATCAGCCAAGCAAGAAGCAATCTTAGTGACTGTAATAGGCATTACTATTATGAGACTAAATTGAGATGTCACAATCATTCTTCCAACAGCATATCCTCAGAGCATGTTGGCCTCACTTCATCACTGTGCCAATCAATTTTACAGTAGCATTCTACCATTATGAGCTTGTCCTCAGCATGCAAATTGCAGCCATGCTAGTGAGAGAGCTAAAATATTCGCCTGCAAGATGAACTCACCTAAGTTTATAGGGGCATTTGTATTTGTTGTTTCACCATCACTGACATTTTAATCATCTCATGGGTAGTCTGATTCAGGAAGAAGTTTTAAGAACAAGGACCATTGTTCATGTGCAGGACAGGTTTCAACCTAAGAAACAGTACTATACAGATACTGACTTGTCATCTCTCATAACACTGCAAACATATAGAAGCATTAGAAGAAATGAAGGTTCAACACTTGAGAGGAACTACAAATGGAGCTGCAAAATGAAAGAAGAAAACAATAGAAGTTCACTCATCTGCCAAATATCAGTTGCAGTAGAAATATTTTTTTTCTCTATGGTAAAATCAGTTCTCACAGGACATTCTAAAAGTTCTCACAGGACAAATACTATCTTAAGTTTTGGAAAAATCAGAAATGAGAATGCAAATAACTTAATAACACACGAAAAACCTAATGCATTGAACTTCACAGTCAGCATATAAATCTGCATCCTGGACATCTATCTATATGGTACTTAATGTCATCTCTCATTAGTCCACAATATCTCATCTAATAATACATTATGATTGTGACACACCACTAGGCCCTAAGCTTAAGATGTTCTAAAGTCACATCCGTGTAAATCACCCTATTACTGTAAACCATGCTAAAACACACAGATATATAATACGATACAGAATTATCTACTCCTATCATTTACAGCATGGAGTTAAAATAATACTCACTGTATCAAATTCCACATGCCAATTCAAAAGATCTGCCAACCAATCTCCAATGCCGCTCAGCTTTCTCGACCCAAATATTATGACTTCTTTCAACATTCAAGGAACTGCAGACACTTTACTGGCATAAGCAATACTTTTCATTGATCATGAAAGGCGCAAAATCCCAAAACCAAAAGAATCCTGGTCTATGATCTGAACTATTACTATTTGACTTGATGGCATAATCTCTCTCTCGCGCTTAATTCATGGATGCATTGTTTTAGCCAAAAACAGTGATATTTGTACCATTCACCAAACAAATATCACCAAGTGAGGCATTCCAAGCAAGATAGTATTCATCATAAATAGAATAAGAATCAGTATAACATCCATCAATAGCTAATAATAGACTTATCACTGATTTAGGAATGATAATAACTCAAATGTATAAGAAGTATTAAATACATCAAGTGACAGATTAAAACAAACAAAATCAAGCCACTATTGACATAAAATATGAAGCAAGCACCTTGTGAAATGAAACCATAAAGCAAACAACTGCAAAGGATCTGTTTGACTTCCTGTCCAGATTGCATATGGAACTTGTGACTGATTCCAAATGCCAAGAATGTCAATACGAGCTCCAGAAACATCATCTATGGGCACAAAACTATCATCCGGGCACTCAACAGTTGCGATCTTGGTTGCCGAAGAATTGTCAACATAAAGCACGCAAAATCTTGCTATCAGATGAGCACTGTGATGCCCTGATCTTTTTGCATTTCCATGCTGAAGTAATCTCCATTGACATTCCACCATCATTAGAAGGTCCTGCATCATCTGCAGACGTATTGTACCGTGCACAATCCAACTTTGATTCTCCAGTGAAAGAATAGTGATTTGCCAGTGGCCTCTTTAGCTCTGCTTTGCCTCTGACATCATATTGACTCAAAGGTAATTTCTTTTGCTTAATTCTCACTTTCCTACCACCAGCCAATGATCTAGACTTAGATCCATCCTGTTGTTTCTCTGTACAGTTACTGGATGCTTCTTCCTTCCTCCGGAAAACGTCTTTCCCTTCTGATTTATCTATAAAACATTTATCATTCATCCTAACACCCTCATTATGCAAAACATGTGAATTCTCAACGCAGATAGCATCACTGTTACAAAGAACTTCTTTCCCAAAACTGTTCTTCGCCTTATTATCTGAAATTCTAGGTGAACTATTCATTGCAAGATGCAATTTCCTGGCTAGTTCTTCATCTGTTTTTTGGGTCCCCGCAGAATAATTGTTCTTATACAAGAGCTTTATCGGGACCTGTTTCTTTCTCACTTTGGTTCTAGTATGGTAACCCTTTCTGGACTTTCTCGTGACAGAATCCAGATTCAGTAATGCACTCTTAGCAGCAGCTTTGGCCTTTGTGGCTGCAGCTGCTTTCTCAACTGCATTGTTTCTTGCTGTCGCTGAAATTTCCACCGCAGCCAAAGCTACGGACTTGGAGACCTTGACGATTTCTTCCAGAGTCGAACTCGGGGAATTGATAATGTCACGAAGCCGAGCACCAAGATCGCCAGAAACACAGGGAACTGGTGGCAAGAAGTCAAATTCGGAGTTCTCCCTCCTCAATTCAGCAAGAAGACGCTTCCGAGGCGGCAAATGGGTGATGGCATCGAAGGACTCCATCTGAATAGCCCTTACAAAGCAATGATTATGTAACCCAATCTGGCCTTTTTGGATCAAAAAATCGATCTTGATCGATTAATGTCACGAATTAGTTCCAATCGTATCATTATTCAGGCCAGAACCAGAGTACCCTTGCCGACAATTTAGGCCTACCCAATAAATCGCACAGGTCAAACACAATAATAGACCTACCGAACAAAACAAACAGAAAGAACAGCAACGATTCAATGATACGTCGATCGAAGCAAGCAGATCTTTTTTCATTTCAGGAAGAACAATAAATCAAGCAAGAAAACTTGAACTACAGCCAACTGAATTAGCACTCATCAGGAAATATGAATTCAAGGGGGAGAAGCAACGCCTCGAACCAGATCCGAAGATCGTCGTTTGAGGCGAGGATTATGCCAAACTAGGTAAATTACAGATTCGCTGGATCGAATTAAAGGTAACGAGATCATGAGATGTAACGATCGAGATCCCTACCTCGTTCCTCGCGAGCGGCGATTAGGGTTTCCTCGACGGGGAGATTCCGATGATTGCCTCTACGCAATTTTTCGCCCAAAACCCACGAGAGAGAGAGAGAGAGAGAGAGAGAGAGGATGACATATATACGTCGCCGACGACGAATTCCTTTTCCGAAATTACAAGACTGCCCCCTCGCTTTCATATTTCCTACTGTTTTGTTAGATGTTGTGAGACGTTCCGCAGCGGCATTTGGAAAGGCCACACACAAACAGCAAGAATGTGTCTTGAGAATGTTGAGAACAAAGAGAAATGAGTTTGATGAGTTACTAAGATTTGAATCTAAAAGCTTGTGATAAATTATTAAGATTTTTATCAGCTAAATTGGTTGATATTCTCTCATTCATAAAATAGATTAGTAGAGAATTATTTTCTGTTTGTTTGAGGAAATCAAGACAAATTTGACTCATAAACTTGGGTTGGTGTTTGGAATGTTGGTAAGCATTTTTGTGTTCTTTTCTGTATTTGAGTTATGAGGCCATATGCCTAATTCTTAACTGAGAATGCTAATGCAAACTCATTCATGTGGTTTTGGTAATGTGGAAGTTCACTTTGTTATGCAACCATTGTATCCAAGCCTTCTTTTATGGATCAAAATGATGATGAATATGATATCATATTAGTTTGGTGGTGGTGTATGATACTAAACTCATTTATTAATTGAGAGTTGGAATCTTCATTTGACCAATTTAACTAATAAAGATTTTATCAATTCATTATAAGATCCTTGATTCAAAATCTTAACTTTGGAAGAAAAATCCTGATTTATCTAAAAGGTAGACTTCTTTAATCTTTTAATTCTATCTCATATGATAGCATTGATATTTTCCTGCTGGAAATAACTACACCATTATGAACTCACAAGGGAGCTATGCAACATTGTAGATGTACAAAGGAACAGTATTTCTATACCAATATGAAGTTATCAGCTGCTTTGCACCGTTGCGTAGATGAATACAGTTCGATATCAAAAAATAAACTGGCAAGGTTTATAAAATTATACCAACATTTGGTGCATCAGTACATACCAAATTTAAGAAGAATTTATATGCAGTCCAATTTGCGATTCGGATGAAAAAGATAATATAAATCACTCGCAATCAAGAGATTTATTGTGATCAGACCATGTCACCAAGAAATGGGAGTCAAGACTCCTGTCAAGCCTGAAGATACTTCAAATTTGTATTTACAAAGACATCTGCAAATCTCCAAGGCAAAATGCATAAACACCGAATTAACTTCGTACAGGTTTACACAAATCATGAACAGCATATATGATCATGCCTTGCCCAAATTATGAAGTCAGGAGCTAGTTGTGAGCTAATAGAAAAATGACAAAGCAAGCATGAAAACAGTCTCTTTATCGATCAAGATTCCTTAAAAGCCAATCGACAGCTGCATGGACATTGCCAGAGGTGGCACTTAAAGCACGGATATTCTCTTGAGTGTTCAAGAAACCCATTTCTTGTAGCTGGGACAATTGTGTTGCGTATCGCTCCTCTGGAGGCACTGCAAGAGGAAATATCCATAGAATGCTTAGTCCTCAGCAGATTTCCACTGTAAAAAGGTATTCAAGTACTAAACGACAGGCTAGAATGCATATAACCATCAGGATTACTGGGAACACCAGCGCCAGACCCAAGACCACCAAACATGTTCATCAGAAGTTCCAGTCCGTTGTTATTCATTGTCCCTGCAGCAGAGCAAATGATAAATGCACCTTTTAATGCAAATGTCCATTGTCCAATAGTGTCATCAAGTCAGAACAATTTTTGAGATATTGAGGACAGCAAAATCATAGAAGTAATGAGAGAACATGTGATCATGAGGCTCCAAAGGCCAGATGCATCTGACCATATTTCTCATACCTGCTGTACCACCGCCAGTCTGATTCTGTTCCCTACAACAACGGATAAGAAATAAGTGAACTAATCAAAACTTGAAGCCAAACTAGAGCAAAATTTTCCTCTTGACAATGTCACGAAGAGCATGCCAGAAACTAATCCGTCCTAAGGTGCAAAAACAACAGACTGTCAAGCATTAGCTGAAACTTATATTTTGAACAAGTTCATACATCAAACTTAAAATGTCTTTTTGATTTATTTATTATTTTTTGTTAATTAAAACCAATAGTAGACCATGGGTAGTAGAAGAAAAAGAAACAAGACCAACCAAATCTCAACATGTATCAGATCAGAACCTTCTTTTTATATGCCATAAATTGGAAAGGCTAATGAGAAAGCAAAATAATCAAAATAAAAGGAATCAGTCTTAAATAGGATGTAACTTACTGGCTCGATTGCTGCCGAACAACCTGGGATACAAGTGATTGCTGAAAAGACAGAAGTTGCTGCAAACAAGAAAACAGAGGTTTTTTAATAACAAGAAACCTCGTACAAGTAATGATTGCAAATCAATCTACCTGCAATGTCTCAGGAGAAGTAAGCTGTCGAATCAATTCAGGGTTCTGCAACATATCCCTAAGTTGGGAATTGGATCCCAACATGCCACCGAGTTGTGGATCCAAGACCTAGCAACAAGCAGTAATCACAAAAAAGTGGACTAGAAACAGTAACAGTTCCATCTCACACTCTCACTCATTATAGATAATAGATACCTGATTCATGAACTGAGGGTTGGAGAGGAGAGACTGCATCATCTGCATAATGGCTGGGTTCTGCAGAAGCTGATTCATAAGGGATGGATCTGGCATGCCCCCAGCCATCCTTTCCAAGTCTGGTAAACCAAGCCCACCTAACCCAGCAACACCTGGAGATCTTCCATCATTTGCAGGCACAGGTCTCGAGTTTGTAGACTGTGCACCTCCTGCTGTGGCATTAACTTTTAATAAATTAAAACAAACAAACCATAAGAAGATTACAAAGCAACTTACCAGTACTGCTCCATGGGTTTGGAAGTGGGTTACTATTTGGTGCAGCAGACTCGGTTGTGACATCAGAACCAGTACCAGACTGATTTGCTGTCTGACCTCTAGCCTGCGAAGCACTCTGATTCCCCAAAAGTGCTGCAAATGGGTTTTGAGCCAAATCATTCCCCATGTTCCCTGACCCTGTTGTAGCATTCAGAAATGGTTCCTGAACAGTTTCGTACATGCGCCTAAGAGCATTAAATCCTTCTGGGGATGCCTCAATGTTGCTCATAGCCCTGTCAGTGTTCCGCATCAATTCTCTCATGAGTTCAGGATTCCTCATAACTTCCAAAGATTGCCGGAGAGTACTGGGATCATTGAGGACATGCGCAAAATCAGGATTGCGGTCTATGATCTCACGCATTTGAGGATTATTCATTATCATGTTTCGCAGTAGGTCAGGGTTATTCATCAGACTCTGAACGGCAGGCATATTCATTATTTCTCTCATCATGCTAGGATTTTGAGCAAGCTGCTGCTGCATCTGATTAATATCCGGTAAGCCAAATCCCAAAAAACCTGATCCATTACCATCTCTTCTGTTGACACCAAGGCCAGGAAAGAGTGAGCCTCCAATATCAGCTCCTCCAAATCGCCGACCTTCATTAGTACCACCATTCTCAACACCAGCACTGTTGGCAGGAATCCTTGAAGCTCCATTGCTAGCTGTTGTCACATCAGCAGATGCAGCTGGTGATGTTAAACCACGTACCAAATGAATTGTGTGATCTGACTCCAATCCTTGGCAAGACAAAAGTCAAAACATTGTCAAGATGGATCACAATAGAACTGACCACATCCATAGCCATCTAGCTTTCATGGTCATTAATCACGCACACAAAGCAACAAGGTGATATAGCAGCTGGCAAGAACTTGGGTGATACTAAGCAGCATTAACAAATTACATTTAGATGATTCAGGTAGTCACTATCACCTATGACCAAAATTACAAAAAGTTTAAAATATTAAGACACCGGAAGTTTTCCTTCTATTACTACTCCAAGGTGAAAGTTGAACACTGTACAATTAAAAAAATATACACATTGTTCAAGCAAGTCCAATTGTAACAAGAATGTCAAGACATTAACCTCGTATGGCTAAAGTATAGAAACTTTTAACCTCCAAGTATGAATAAAAAACTTCTCATGTCTTATAAATGAGAAAAAATATAATTGCAAAATTTTCTGTAGTAGTTGAATAATTTGCATCTCCTTGTAGATGTTTATTTTTTTTCTGATAATAAACCTGATGATCTTAGTTCCAACATTTTGATATTACAAAAAATAATCACGGTTACATTAATCAAATCTTTCTAGATCTCATACCCTATAAGCTTAACCCCAAATGCATGATAAAGGAAATTCTTCTTCCATAATCTAATGATCATGACAAATGCATATTCCAATGTTCCTTGGAGACAGCTCATTGCACTCAAATGTTAGTTGCTTTAGCCTAACTACCAAAAGTTATAAAACATTGTTTAACACTTAGTTAATCTTCTTGAGCGCCTTGAACCCTGAGTGAGCAATTGAGTCCCACTTAAGCAAGCACCTCAATCGAGGCAGCCTGCATTTATTCTCTATTCTCTGTCTCTCTCTCTTTTCTCCCCTTTCTTCGCCGCTCTACTCTCCACAACCAACAATTATTGTCACCATTTCCCTCTCATCCCTATTCTTGTGAATAATGATTACCTTTCTCAATTTATTTTCATATTTTTTTAAAACAAAGCACCTCAGTTTATCGAGGCAAGTGCCTAGGAAAATAAGGGACCTTGGCGCCTTATAATACCTAGCAGTGACAGCATTGCCCCCTTTGGAAGGACAATAGACATCAGCACATTTGCCTCGCTGTACACCTTTTCGAAAGAGGCTATAAATTCAGCTCCACAATGGAACAAACAAAAACTCCAGACTTTTCGCTGATCAACACATAAGAAAAACTACTCAACATTAATGCTTAGGACACCTTCATTAAAAAATCAACTAAAGTGGGCATCTGTTCAGAAAAAAAAGTTGTATATTTCTAAAGAAAAAGAGACAAGATATGATGGATAACAGAAAAGAATATATCGACCTTAAACGTGACAAATACATATTTCTTGTATTGATGAGAAAACAAAAGGCCTAATTATGCATACAAATACATATTCCATATTGGTAAACACAAGCCAAACCATTAGACTACCTCTCTTGACTAATTATGCGTACAAAGAAAAACAAACAGAATTTTCCCTACAGCTTTTGAATAAAACATATAAAGCAAATACTCACGGAGCACAGAAGATATTAGCTCACTGGTTACCAAGTAGCTAATACTAGTCAATAGTGAAAAATTGGCGAAACCTCTGCTTTCTATAGGGTCAACATCCTCCATACAAAGTCAGCACTCACCAAGCAGCTAATATTGGTCAATTTCAAAGTCTCATATATTTCCCCAAGAGATCCAATTTTTCGTAGCTAGAGAAAGATTGATCATTACATTTTTTTACTTTCAATTTTGCTATGACGAAAATCTCTCTCCATCACTAGAAGAATACCTTCCTCCCTCGAAGAATGAAGGCCTATTGATTGGATGGGAAAATCTAACCAATTTTAAGGGGCATCTGGCAGTCAATACGGCAACGAAGGACCAAAAGTCAACTTTTCTCTTTAACAATACCTTTCTCGTTTGACGTTTGATCAAAGAATCATCTTTTCCAATAACGTTCAAGAATCTCGATCACTTCACGAAAGAAGAATGAAAAAGTTATGAAAGTGACTTCTCTATTTTAAGCCGTAATCAGCGTGATACGATCAAAAGGGGATGAACAAGGCATCGGCCGCAACAGCAAAAGGAATCGAAATCAAGGGGGCAAATCCACGCACCATAGCTCTCCAGGGTATGCTCGTCCTTCAAGATCCGGCCTTTATAGATCAACCGCTGCTGCTCCGCCGGGACGTCGCACTTCTCGACGAGGGCAGCCTTGAAGGCCCCGACGGTGGAATCGAGGGCGATCTGCACCGAGAACTTGGACCCGTTCGAGCATCGGACGTGGACGGTGACGGCGGCGCATCCTCCGACGGCGTCCGAATCGCCAGCGCCGCAGGAATCGCCGTCGGTGCCCATGTGCCCTATGCCAAGGGCGATCGGACCCCAATACAAAGACCGGGTAGGGAGATCGAGAAAAGAAAGTAACCTCAAGACTCTCTCCGGCTCGCGACAGACCAAAAGAAACGCGCAGATAGAGGGCGAGAGGAAGCGATCAAGAACAAGAGAGATGGAAGAGAGAAAGAGAGAACAGGCTCTCGTTCCGCATCTATTTCAAGGGGGCCGATAAGGGTGGAGAGGAGACCCCGAACACCCCCGCCCCCCTCGGCCCCCAACACGTGACGTGCTCGTGGGTTGGTAGGCGTCACGTGATTCTCACGTGATAGAGGAATGAGATTGCCAATCCCCCCCCCCCCCCCCCCCCCAAAAAGAGAAACAATTCCGATAAATATGAGAGACTTTAGTACGACTGACCGAAGGAGTCAAATAGAATAGAAAGGCAGCCAAATAAGGATCATTGTTGAGCTCAAAGATGAGTGAGACGCTTCTCCTTCGTATGCAACTGACCTATCATGCAAGTAAACAAAGTGCCATCAGATGACATTAAAAGAAATCCGATTCTCGCTTTTGGGATATTAGTATTAAAGGAGACATTAGTATTTAATTTATGCCACCCGATATGAAACAACAACTAATATCGAGTTCATCTCAACTATTTATCAAGTTAACTAAACTTAGATGTTGATTTTTTATTCCTTTCTCTTCACATATCTCTTTTTTCTTTTGTATGGAGAAAAGAGTGTAAATCATACTCGATTTATTAATATTTCTCGTAAATTCTAATAATCTAATTCTAATGAGATTGATAACTGAATAGCCTTTGAGACAAAAGATCTAAAAGATCAGGAATTTTTAAAGGATCTTTGAATATATATGGAATTTTCTTCGATTGGCACTCTTTTAACATTCTTCTATAACTTGAAAATAAGTTCAATTAATGTACCTAAAATATAATATTTTTTAATTGATGAAATAAACGGCTGATGCTCATGGGAATTTTATTGTTTCTTCAATTATTCTTCAATTTATTGAGCATTTATCTTAAGGTAAAGAGACTTGCAATTATTCTTCAAACGAACTATTAGGAGCATTTATCGTACTATTTTTTTTTGGATTCAATTTGGTTAAAATAAGATAGTCTAAACCAATTTAAAAACGATTCGAATGTAAATAACTAAACTAATTTAAAACCAATTAATCCGATTTGGTTAACCAATAAACAAAATTAATAATAATTTGATTACAATTTTAATTATTTAAATTAACTAATTTAATTTAACTAAAATCTTGATCCAATAGAGATAACGCGATAAGAACTATAAGATTGAACCTACAACATTTACAAAATCAAATCTTTAGGATGATTGATTAATTGAATCGATTAAAGGTTTTCAATAGTAAACCAATTGGAATCAAACCAATTTTAGACCGGTCCGATTCCAATTCGGTTCGGTTTTATGATTCAATTCGAACACCCGTGTCTTTAAGAGATATCAAGCAGTATTAAATTGAAGGTAACAAACAAAGCTCGCATATGGTGATTCAAATGTAGGGATGCTTTTGCCATTCAACGAAGAAATAGGTGTTATTTTAGCTTCTTAATTTTTATGATATTTCTGCTGTCTTTATCAATTTCAAACAGATACAGTGCGTGAAAGCTATTGAGATCACTGCTAACATTTCTATTTTAAAGGGCATCAAAGTAGTTTACCGTAAGATTTGAAGAATCCTTTGTCAATCAGTTCATTTGAAGAGTCCTAATTGCAAAATATCATGATTTGAGAAAGAAAAAGCTTCAGCACAATTTGCTTACCTTGCCTTTGATTATGGATGGAACCGTACACCATCAGGGAAGACATGACCTGAATTGGTTTACACAGCTGATAACCTGAACCAGAGACTCAAATCATCACCACAAAAGAGGAATATACATGTACAGAAATCATGTCTGCTTGAATTAGTGCCTCCTACCTGTTGTTTGGAGAACCTGGAGAAAAGATGAACACAATGCTCTCAGAACATGAGAAAGCATGACCGGGGGAACCTGAGAATCAAGGATGCCAGTTGCACAAGTTCATTGGAAGCATCAGTGGCAGCACTGCTGATAGAATACAGAATTCATCAATGGAAATCAGGACATGCAAGCACATAAAGCAGGGGAGAGTAGTGAATCATGGTCATGGTAGGTATCAAATCCATGAAAGCAGATCATTAAGACTGAGGAACAACTGTTACCAGGGTGAAGCTAGATTTGTCCAAGCACCACCATTATGTGTTTGCAGAGATGTGCAGGATTGGGGGATGCAGCAAAAAGTTCCGTTTGATGTTGAAGAAGCCACTGGGAAAATTAAATTTGCAGCAAGTTTGTTCATCTACCTCGGCTAGCTTTAGGTAAAAGCCAAGGACCAACTGTCCCTCTGGGATGTCTCTGAGAAAACACCATGGTGGTCAAGGCGTTGTGTGCGCAATCAATAAATCAAGGATTTGGAGTGCCATTAAGATCTAGAGTGCCCAGTCTAAACATAATACACACATGGAGTGAAAAAGAATAACCAAATTGCACCTCTTGGAGGTCTGGTACTGATAATGCAAGTAGTTGATATGTAGCATGCATGCAACAAAATATAACTCATCTCATTTGGCAGGGAATGTAATGTCTTGAAATGTCTGATGCATTTTTATTTTGCAATTGGTAAGTAGCGAAAGCAGGATGGGACCCCAAGATGTTACAATGTATTGACAAATTCTTTATTAGCTTAAGCTAATTAGCACCTTTGAGTAAGCAATGCTTGCTTGGTCCACCAGATTCATTTGAATCAGGTTCAAGTTCAGATACATGTATCCAAGTGGTTGGTTGAATTCAGGTAAGAAAAAAACTGTGTAATCCCTCAATTGCCCTTCTGAGATGATAGAAGTACTCAGGTCTAGTCAATTAGCTTAAATTGGATTCACGTATTATTTAATCACATTCAAAAAATATAGAAGTACTTGAGTAGGATCCAAGTTTTTGACTGTGTATTTTAGTCATTTAAATTAGTCTATAACAAAAGGAGATCTAGGGTTGACAACCTCAATAATTTCATCACCCCACCTCCCTAGTCAGCACGAGGAGCAAGATCGATGGCAGATTTTAAGACAAGCAAAACAAGATATGATAAGATCATTGCTATGAGGAAGATAGATAGGAATATGTTTCTTTGCTATTTTTATCATTCCTTTAGAAAATTATCCTACTTTCTCATCACAATCTTATATGAACATGTTATTTATTCGTCTTGCGATTTATTGAATATTGATTCAAAGATATCATGACTTGTAAAGATTATTTATAGCATAGGAATATTCTTCTATATCCAATTTCCATTTTATTGATTTCTCATCATGAGTATAGAAATCAATAGAATAAAATATGATGAGCAATTAATAGAATAGAAACCAAATATAGGAAAACCTTATATCGAAAATAATCTCTATGATTCATGATTTCTGTGAATGAATATCCAACAAATCACAGAATAAGAATATATTACATGTTGACCTAAGATTTTAATAAGAAACTAAAACAATTTTTTACTTGGATAAAAAGAGCATTCGAAATAGATTGCCACATGTCCCCTGTCCAACAATGATCTTGTCATCTTCTCCCTTTTTTTTTGTTGGTGCCAATCTTGCTCTCGATGATAATTTCAGAGTGATGAGATATTTAAAAGAGGGCGGCCAACCCTAAACCTAGATTCATTTTAGTTAGAAATTAATTCAAATTACTAAAAGACCCATAATCAAAACATGGATATCACAATTTCTCCCGCTCAAGGAATTTTGGTCCTCCAAATTTCACAAGTCACACATCCACTATGTTACTATAATCTTGCATGTTCTATTTTATTAAAAAGATAATTAGATATCTAACAAAATTGATGGGTCTCATAATTATTCAACTTTTTAAAACTATTTAAGTTTTCTATTTCTCATCTTTTAATTTGATGGGATAACTAACCTATTAACTTGATAAGCCTAAATGATTGACCTAAAATGTTTAAGCTCGTATCAACGGTAGTACAGCCATCAAACCAAATTGTGACAAATGATGTTAGAGTCGATCTAACATTGGACATAGTTAACGACTCGAGAAAGAAAGTCTACCTATGAATTGGGCTAATGGCATATCACAATATGGAGCCTACAAGCCTTGTGTGCACCATGATATCGTTTGATTCTAGATTATGTCCAGGCCTTAAGGAGGATATTAAGCCTTAAAGTAGGGATTATAACAACTTAAGTTGGTATATAAGGACTTGATAGATGTATTACCATTAGTTTGCACTTGAGCATTTTATGTTAGTGGTTTAGGCCTATTAAATTAATGGGTCGATTATCTAATAGTTTCACAAACTTTGAAACTCAAAATGGGCATTTTTTAACCCATTTAAAAAGTTATAAGCCACAAACTATAGACTCAATGTGAGCTTTTGACACAAAAATCTAACAAAATTTGATACCACATTGAGCCAGAATCAACACTTAGGGACCTTGACACCTAACATAATTAATTTATGAAAGACTACTAATTCTAGTCTTAACTCCAGCCTTAACAGCAGGCCTTTGTTTGAATTGTGGACCAGCATCCAAGATTGTAGCACAGCACATCTAGTCACTAAAGACATTCTGAAAGCTTTGAACAATTTTGCAAGACTAAGTGGATGGCTTGATCTTGCAGCTTACTCCAATTAAGATCAATTTTCTTCACTGTGAGTACTAGTAAAAGGATGTCAAGATATTGAGCCTTAATCCAATAATATGGAAGTTAAACACCCTCCTAGATGCCATAAACTTCTGTACACTTTAATGCAACTGAACAAAATATCAGCATGCATGGTATAAAGTAGGCTCCCTCCAAAAAATTAACCTGATGAAGCGACAACTGACCTGATTGGGAGAAGCTTCATGGAACACAGTTATTCTACAGTACCCTAGGCAATTGGAGAGCTTCCTTTCCAGGTAAAATCCATGTGTTAAGATGCAAAACTTCGGCAAGGTAGCTCCAATTACAGACTCAAATGCTTGGCAATCAATTATCAGAAACTTTTATTCATGAAGCCTTAGTCATGTTCTTGATACTTGCCAATATCTGTCACTTCTGCTTTCATGGTACCCAAGAACCCTAATGGATATGTCCTGCAGATAACTTACATTAGAAGATTCAAAACCAAGACAACGCATATCCACGTGGAGAATAAAAATTAAGGCCGATGCAACAAGAGCAATCTGAAGAGACGTGAAACCTATGTGAAGGTGGGAAGCTCAGATGCAGCAGGGTAGCTCAGATTCCATGCCAATTACAGATTCAGATGTCCTTATCAATCATCAGAAACTCTTATTCATGAAGCCTCAGTCATGTCCTTGGTAGTTGCCAATGTCCTTGATTCAATGCCAGTACAAAAGCTCTCGTGGTACCCGAGGATACTAATGGATTGGATGCTTCCTGCAGATAACTTCCATTAGAAGATTTAGAACTAAGACATAATGCACATTCTGTTTCCAAGTGTAGAGTATAAATTCAAGGCTGATGAAACAAGAACAATCTCAAGAGACATGAAACCTTTGTGAAAGTGGGAACCTAAATATGGCTAAAGGTTGCCACCTCCTTTCAGAGAGACACAACACTCTACCAGGTGCACCAAGGATTACAATAGCTTGAACCTGCAACAGGAGATGACAACATATAAATGATGATTGTAAGAACATATAGATGCCCAGGGCCAACTATTGAGAAAATCGAAGAGCCAATTTTTCATTAGCATCTAGAGCCTGGGATCCATCAAGAGTGAGGATTGCAGAATGTGCTACATTTAGAGATGGATGTGCAATAATTCATCTATTTCAAAATTGTCTATGAGAAAAATAGTTCACTAGAATTATGTTATGTATTCCATATCAGTATGTTGAAAACTCAGATATGTATTTCCATAAACAAGTTATTGTTACATGTCAGAAACAAGGCTCTTAGCCCATCTGAATCCATTATGAAAAGTGCATCGAGTGTTAATACCACCACTGGAAACCAAAGACACCTCCCTCCAATTGAAAGCTCTTCCCAACAGACAGTGCAGGAATCAATCTGACCAAGACATGGCCCTTAATTCAAGTCAATTTGAAAGGCATTGAATCACAGAAATAGAACAAAGTATAAGGCATCAATTTGCGTGTTGTTAAGACTTGGACAAAAAATGCTCCAGTTGTTAACACTTCATAGTCCTATCAAAAGAAAAAAAATGCTAATCATTAATTAGTTAGATCAAAAAGAGAAAGGAACAAAATAAAATATTTTAATTAAGGATCAATGTAAGTAAACATTAATTTCAACAACCAATTAGTAAAGTGCAGCAACCACCAGCATTATTTCAACTTTGAGCATGTGCAGTAACTCCAACATCTTCAAAAGCAAAACATGGTTAATATGATATGCATATTCCATAGAGTAATCTAGCAATCCATATTACTATAATCAGCTAAAATTAGAAAAAACCTCAAGATGTCTACAATTCTGATAAAAAAACTCAAAATAACGTGTGTAAACTGTAAACCAAACAGAAAAGTTTAAGGAACTTCAAACAAATAACTAGACAGCTTACTGGCACTGCTGTAAATACAAAAAAAAAAATTTACCTTCAAATACAGGATAAGAGGGAAATAAAAGCCATGTGGCACAATTCTTACTTTCTATTAGGAAGCAAATGAAGTGAGAGAGAGAGAGAGAGAGAGAGCATTTAACATGGATAAATCTCCTTCGGTTGCATTCATCTTACAAACCAAAATTTTACTAGAACTTAATCAAGCACCCATAAACCCTAAAATAAAACTCTATTTTTTAGTTCATTGTCTTCAGTCCCAAAAAACACAACTTCAATAAGAAAAGGCTCCTTTGGTGGGGAGTTAAATATTATTTTTGTCTGATCAGCTCCATCGACCGAATACAAAATTTGCCTGAATTGAGGTCTAGGATAAGAGGAAGGGAACATTGCATGTTTTAGGACAAACTCAGACACAAAAAAATATAGAACTTCTTCCTAAAATGGAAAGGGAATAAACTAAAAAATCTAGAGGATTACCATTGCCTATGGATTACCATTTCATTTTGCTAAACCATTTATATACCAGATCCTTTAAAAGGTTTCTCATTTGTAAGGTAATGCTGATTGCTGGTATTGCATTTCTTTCCTTACGAATGAGGTAGCATGTGTTTTGTAGTTAGAATGGCACCATAGGATCTAGATAACAATTAAGCAACCGTATGTCTCTCAACCAGTCTGTCCTAGTAAGAACTCTCACTTTAATGTAAGAGCTTAAATAAAGCTATATATATATGTATATATATATATGTATATATATGTATATATATATATATATATATATTCTTAAGCTGAATACAACCACATAACCAAAGAATATTTATTATAGTTATGAAAACGAACTAAGTTCATAAGAGTTTCAATGAATAACCAAGCAGCAGAAATGGCACTGTTTGCAGATTAACAAAGCAATTTCCAGACCAACTTTAGATGTCTCAATATAGTGAAGGGCCAAAATTTCTTGATAAGCCACTTCTAAAGACAGATTTTATTGATGACTACTCTCTGGATGTAAAGGTATTTGCTGTGACAGAATGCCATCGCAACCTTGATGATGAGCATACAGCATACTTCTCCATATCTGACAATAATAGGAAGTCAAATGATTGGGCGTAGCTCTCCAGTTTGCAGGGCAAACTTTCGGTGTTGGGATAATATAGAATGCACCATAATTTCCTTAGTTCTCGATAAAATATCAATCCCATTGGATGATGCAAGTTTCTTGGTTGCACGAAGTATAGTTTGCAGGATTTGAAGTGGATCACCATGACTGACAACAAGGACTGTGCATCTGCAAATGGAAATGTTCATGACAATTAAATCATGATCAACAATATAGTATCACAACAAGAGCATGATCAACAATTAAATCATGATATAAACATGGGAAAATAAAAGAGAGCTCGAGAAAGATATATATATATATATATATATATATATATATATATATATATATATATATATATATATATATAACAAAATAGTATAAATCTAGAAAACACATTATATATTGGGCACCTCACCTTATCCCTGTTGTTTAACAAGTTAACAGAATTCCATGTTGTATAGCCTCCATAATGCTCTAATCTAAACTCTTATTGTTCAATTGCTTAGCTAACCAAAACTCTAAACTAGATGCAGATGAGGCACTTTGAGATTTGCATTTATGCAGACGTGGCATGTTATTGGGATAGATGATAATAAAAAATGCAGTTGTCTGCTTATAATCCATTGAAGACATTAATTCCATTGATAGGAAACCCAACAAAAAGAAATATGACCAACCTAAGTGTCTTCAAGTGAGAACATGGTTTCTTTTTAAGATGCAGTACATATAAATCTCTTTATGGTCTAAACCTTGTTTAATGAAGAAAATAGATATAATAGATATAAAAAAAGAAATAAGGGTAACTACTCAGATGAATCACAACATGACAACTGGAATCATACTTCAGCATTCTAGGGCAGTATAATTATCTAGAGTATAACAACAAATATGTCTCTTATATCAATGATAATTCCCCAGATAGGAGATTGAGTCCTCAGTTGTACCTAAGTAAACTCAATCCTGCTGAACTGAGCTAAAACAGGAAAAAAACTAAGCTCAAACAAGTTGATAGTTTGGTACCCAACTTTCAATAGATTTCTGCTTCTTCTTGGCTTCTCATTGCAACATGTCTAGGCAGAGAAAGTACGAAGAGGAGAAATTTGCAGTTGACTAGTACTCACATGTAACATATGCCAGTTTTAGTTGGATGTGTGTGATAGCAAATGTATCAAGAAAAAAATTCCTCTTAAGAAAAAGATTTCTCCAACAGGAATTAAACATATCAGACAATCTCCTTACCCCAGATATGATCTAAATATAAAAGTTAAAGATTTCCATGAGAAACATGAGACACTAATCTGGCGCTAGAAAGTGGTTTTATGATTTGGTACATAATTGAAAATTCAACTTGGTTGATATCAAGGTATGCAATACCGTATCGTACCACTGTTTCGAGGTTGACTCGGTACACCAGGGTGTACCGAGCGGTACATCAGAGCATACCGAGCGGTACATCAAAGCGTACTGAGTGGTTTTAAATATTTCTTCCTCTTACTGTAGCATTGTAGCACTGAAGCACGTTCCGTCCGATAGCGGACGGTCCACGTACCGGTATGCCATCGGACCGGTATGTACCGCCCGTACCAGCAATACTATTCGAAATTGCATACCATGGTTGATATAACGCTCCAGAAGTAGACTCAACAACTCAACTAGGAAACAGGAATAAAACTGGAAAGTATTCAATGATTGATTGCACATTTCTGCTATGATCGTTGGTTTGTAGATTTCCATAAGCATCCATTTCTTGCTCCCTGTATGAAACCAGGCAGCAGATCATTATTCAGACACAAAATTCATTTTACCATAAATAGTGCGCTTATTTTGTTTATGTGACATTAAAGATGTGACTTAGCAGCAATCAGGCCTTGTAATTGTTACAGATCAGCTAACAGAAATATAGTTCACATAAGCGTCGCTGAAACATCAAATCATAAGAACAGCGTACTTAACAAGGTAACAAGATGAATGTAAAATGATAACCACAGACATTAGCACAATATGGCAGATACACATACATACCCCTGAAACTCCGCCTCTATTGCTGCCAGAGCAACTGCAAGTCGAGAGACAACATCTGCAACACTTTCTCCACCTTCAGGTGGCAAGAAAGGATCCTTCTCATCTAATGACCATATCTCTGCATACTGAAAATTTTTGCCAAAACAGTTGTTTCAATAATAAAAAAGTTATTTCAGGCATCTAGTTAGGTAGAGTAATGAACTCCATAATAATTGTTCGATTTTGTTGACAATCAATGATATAATAAATTAATTATTGATTAAACAACAAAGAGTAACTTACTTTTACAAGGTTTCATATTAAGAGGACTATACATTTAAAAGCCTCCTTAAAAATAACAAGATTATTCCAAGACCACAAAGTATAAGAAGATACACTGAAATGACCAACTCCTTTTTGAGATTTTAGGCAATGGTATTAACAATTGACAACCAATATGAACTTTCAATAGTTCCTCCAGAATGGGGGTTTTAAGACTATGGAAACATGAAATGCACAGAAACAAAGAAGGCTATTTATTTGTTCTTTCCTTGCTCCCATGAGGTATGCAAAATGTTGATATATTTGTCGAAGTTATAACTTTAATTGACACTCAAATTCATGTATCATACTATTAAGACAAAAATGCTATACAAGATGCCTCATTTTGCAAGGCTGGTTTCACATAAATCTGATATACCCATGTCTTCACCTAGAAAAACATTATAGTTAGAGAGAAACTTACTTTATCATGAGATAAGAGCTCAAATGATGGTCCAAAGTAACGCTCTCGAAGCTCAAGCATTGCCTTCAGGGTGAAATAATTACAAAAAGATATCAGCAAAACCAAAAGAAAATATGGTGATAAAAATTCTAACAAGTTCATACATGATAAAAAAATCACAATTTCTAGTACATTTGAGAAAAGCACAGAAATGACCAATGATTACCCACCCATCAATGTTTTCTATAAACATCAAGAGACCAGGAGTTTAGTAGTACCTAATTATATTTATATATACCTTTGGTGCTGCATGAAATAGAATTCCATTTAATTAGGGCTAATTAGCCCTAACAGAAATGAAATTCCTAGTGTTAATTAGGTACTGCTGCAATATTCAAAAATTTCAGGTATCATCATATTTCTAAGGTCCTAAGTACTTGATTGGCTTCAACCTCTGTTTGCAACTTTAAAGAGTTACTATTTAGTGTTTTCTTCTTATATTTTGTATATCTAACATTTAGTAAATGTTATTACTATTGGTGGAATAGTACCGAGGACTAATGATTCCTGAACCAAGGTATATTTAGATAACCACATAGCACAAATAACCATGTAGCAAAATGTGTAGCATGGCATACATAGATTCAACAGGAAAGTCGTAAGTGGCAAAATGTGTAGCATAATCTGCTGTGCTAACTATGACATTGCATTGGATGACTATTGTTCTAATGCACTTATCTCCTTGAAAGCACTAAAGTTTACGATGCTAATTGTCCAACAAGCTTGAGGAATTAAGTCTCTTTTTCTGTTCAACTACAGATGCTTCTTTCACCTACTGTACGAAAGCCTTTCAACTGAAGTACATGATATTAATGAGTGTCAAGATAATTAAAGCTCTGTAAAGCTTATGTGAAATTAACAGAAAGGTAAATATATAAAATTCTTAATGTAAGTCTAAATTATATTTCAGGAAAACATGCAGTGAATGCAAGTAAAAATGACAAAAAAAAGGGGGCCTATAACAATAAGGATTATTTTCATCCATTTGAGTCTTTTTCCAACAGTGTTTTAGATGGAGAAACAGAAATGTAGTTTCCTCCCGGGAATATGTATAGATCATTAGAATGAAACCATGTGTCTTGTCATCACTGAAATTCATAATCACAAGAGACTCCTTGAAGCTTAAAGCCTACGCTGCAAATATACATGCAAACATCGTGACCTCAGATAGAAGGGTTTACCTTACACTGACAACTGTCAAATGAGATGCCTAAAACATCAGCAACCACTTTAGCAGAATCAGTAGTTCTCGAGAATGGAGAATAGCATATTCGAACATTTTCTAGAAGAATCTTCTTCTCGTCGATTTCCTGCATAGAAATCTATCATTGAGCACAAACATATCAAATGGATATCAAGAAGAAAAGGTGCAAGGCCAATAATTGCACAAAGTAAAGGAGTTAGTACATGTCTATTAAGTTTTTCATTAGAAAGCACATCTTTTTCTGTAAAGGTTATTACAAGTTCTAAGGTTCCAACTATCAGGGCTTGCTACATGGAACTTTTCCTGCCATGGAGCTTTGTTAAGGATGATACAATGAGAAGGAATTATCTGATACGAGGCTGACGAGGAGGAGAAAGCATGCCAGTCAAGATGGCTTGCATGCCTACCTTTTTTTTATATCAAAGTATTTTAAACTGGATTTGTTTTTGCTATTCTATTCTACTGGCACAACAGACATAGATGAACCTTCAGGGCAATTCAGTTGCCACACCCATGTTGTTGAAACTTAAATCCTTAGTTCTAAGCAGGAATTGAAGACCACAGTAAGTTTAATTGCATGTCGTAATAGTTCAGCTGTTTACAAAAACCTATGTTAAATAGACAAAAGAAAGGTCATGTTTTAAAAGATCCAAACCTTCAACAGCAACTCTCCAGCCAATCGTGCTTGGTTGAAACCTTCAGAAGCTAATCCAAACTTTTCAAGTGTGCCGTTCTCCTGATACAGAAAGCATCAACTTAAAAATAAAAACCTTCAGAAAAAGGGTAATACGTCATGGGAGTATTAGGCTGTTAACTCAGATGCATGGATAAGTAGTTCACACCTGCATGCACATAGAAAGATACATGAGAATTGCTGTGTTAAAAAGTCTGAAATTTGTCTTATGAGCTTTAAATGGAATATGGATACCGGAGGTGAGCATGAACTAAAAGGTGTTTTTTTTGGTTTTTTTTCATGAGGACAGACAACAAGCACCTCACATACATCAAGAAAAAAGCCTGCTCCATCATGCAAAGAGACCAAGCAGAGCACCAGATGCATGTAGGTTGTTGTAGTTCTATTAAAAGAAAAAACACTGAGAAAAGAAAAATGGACCCTCTCATTTTAACTAATATCCTAACAAGTTTGTTGCTTGGCAAGATAAAGAAAATTGTTTCACTGTCACCTGGTGGGCGAGGCATGGAGCATATGAAAACATGCCTCTGTCATGGACACCCGACTCGACTCACAACAAGATCATCAAGATCCGATTAGTTTAAGTAGCCACAAACTTGGAACACGATAATCTCGAGAATGATGCCTAGCATACACTTCAAGGAAGAAACAAGATGGAAACTTCGCTGCTTTAACATCCGTAAACTGAATAGATTGGGAAGCAAAGCTTCCTCCCGACCACATTTCTACTAGGATTAGAAGGAACTCATCGGGAATCATAATAAAATCAAGAACCTCGCCTAAATCCATTAGCAGAACAATTGTTCACCGGGAAACAATGGGCAATGGTCAGCCGATGCCTAAATCAACCGGCTCGGAAGGCGAAATCGAGGGGGAGAGGATACCAAGGACGAGACGATGAGGCCCTTCTCGTTGGGGACGCTCTTCCCGTGTCTCAAGACCCAGTAGCTATTGCGAAGGAACAGCGGCGTCTGCTCCATCTCCCTCCGCGAGCCCTAGAAGAAGAAGAAGCACGAGAACGAGGAATCCAAGCCTCCTTATCACCGCACAAAATTAAATGAAATATCCATAAATAAAATATTTCAAACCTAAAAGCATACACGATTTGATGGTTTCGAATCGATTCGTTACGATAGTTCGATTTCGAGTCCCGTTATATAAAATCAAAGCCATCTATTTTAGTTTCGACTCGATAAAAGAATAGGTCTATTCCAATAGCATTAATTATATATTATTTCACTCTAATTAATTATTTTAATAGTTCTATTTTTATATTTTTAAAAATTAATTTTTTATATTAAAAAAATAAAAAATATTTAATTTTATTGATAAAAATATCGTACGTAACTTAATGATAAACTGAAGTGTGTTAACACATACTCAATGGTAAAAAAAAAATGAAGTTAAATATTTTATTTTTATAAATATAAAAAATTTTATCTAAATATAAGGATCAAAATACTAAATATCAAGGTCTGTCGCACCGAAACGTACTATTCGTATCGGACGGTACGTATCGATCCAACAGGTTATCGGTACGCAGACCATCCGGTACTGCTACAATGCTACAGTATTATACTTAACACTGTTACAATGAAAAAAAAATAAAAAAATATTTGATATATTAGGGCGTATCGCTCGGTACACCCTGTATCACCCGGTACACCGGTATCGTACCATCCCAAACCCGAGTCGAAACGTAAAAGGAATGAGATATGAAACATGTCTTTGAGTGCACTCACTCCATGCAAACATGTTGCCTGAAGGAAGAAGATAAGGATGTTTTTGTGACCTGCAAATCTAATTCTTAGCCACCATATCGACAGATCAAAACTCAACCCTCCTGTTCGCCGTGTCCCGTGCGACGGTCAACCACGTACAGGTACGACGATGTCTAGTTCTCCTTGGATTTACAGCAGCAGCAGCGATGGCCGAAAGCCCATGCACTCAAGGAAGACGAAGCACGACGACACGTCTAGCGGTATGGTGACTTGCGAACAAGCATCCCACGGGGCTTCAGCTTCAGCTTCCTCACGTAAACTCGTTGAAACAGAAGGCCTGCTTCGTCGGAAGCAGCTTGTCGCTTCTTGACGATACGCCGAGCATCTTCTTGCATGCAGAAGAAACGTAAGCTCCCAGAGAGAGAGAAAGAGAGAGATCATTTATGTCGGAGCTTTATGAGATGATCTGAAAAGAAATAAACGAGGGGTGATGGAAAGCAAATAGATCGAGAGGTTGGGCAAAAGATACGGGAGCGATGAGGGTGTGATACGGCAAGGATACGCTGGTTGTGTACGGCGGCCAGAACTGCTGCTGCGAGCCGCAGCTGACAGAGCCATTGCCATCATACCAACATCAGATCACACATGGAGATCTCTAGGCATTGATTAGATGCATAGATTGACGCTGATGACTGAGCTAATATAGGTAAGGGGGAAGAGTACAGCAGGAGGGCATCATAATTACGGCCAGCTCAAGATCATTAAGCCCTGTTCCTGCCCATTGGCTGCCGCATACCATTCGACCATCCCCCAGATATTTCCAGATCAAAGAAATTAATTACTGACACCGTAAATATGTTTGCACGCCATAAAGTTGCTCAGGGAGATCAAACAAAGTAGCCGTTACAAGGTGCAGGATGATAAAGCTGCTGGCTTTATAGCTATGCTTCCTGCCATGGGTTTATGGCCTGCTTAGATGCGGAAGGGGAAGGGACAAGGTCTTCAGCTTGCTTGCTAACTTCGCCCAAGTAAGATAATGGAGATGGAGGTCCAGGAGAAGCTTTATCCTGCTCCGCTCCATTCCCATGAGGAGGTGGTGAGCGATAGCGTGGGCTTCATTGAGAGCCTGCGCCGGTTCCACTCCTCCATGAGCACCAAGTTCATGTACGCAGCCCCTTCACAAGCTTTCTCTTGCTTAATCTTTCTTCCTTTAATCCACATGTTATTAGCTTGTTTCATGAAGGGTTCCTGTGATCGGAGGGAAGGAGCTAGACCTGCATCTCTTGTACGTGGAGGTGACTCAAAGAGGTGGCCTCGCGAAGGTTGATCGGTTCTGTGTCCCTTTATGATCGACTCATACTGATTCCAGCGCTCGGATTGAAGTGTAACGAGGTGTTGTGTTGGGTCTGTGACTGATGGAAGTAGGTGATCGAGGAGAAGAGATGGAGGGAAGTGATTGCGGCATTCAAGTTTCCACCCACCACCACCAGCGCTTCCTTCGTGCTGAGGAGGTACTACCTGAGCTTGCTCCACCACTACGAGCAGGTCTACTACTTCCGGATCCAGGGTCCTCTGGTTCCCCCGGCAGGTGAGATGTTGCTGATCTTGATCTGTGAAACGAGCAAGATGGATCATGTTCCATGGTGTTCGCAGCTTCTTCCCAAACCAGGGCAACTCCCAGCAAGCTTGACCACAGCGTCGTCGTCTCCGACTCCACCATGCAGACCCCCAAAGCTCGGAAAAGAGCGCTTCCTGAGCCACAGAGCAAAGGTCAGTGAGATCACTCTCAACTATCCTTCTATCTTGGGGAGAGAGAGTGAGAGAGAGAGAGAGAGAGAGGTCATGTCATCCTTCTTCTTCTTCTATAGGGCCTTACAATTTCACGGTTACGGGGTCGATCGATGGGAAGTTCGAGTATGGATATATGGTGACGGTGAAGATAGGCGCCGAGACACTGCGAGGTGTGCTTTATCGTGTCCAGCAAGAACAGCCTTCGGCAGGCTCTTCGTCCTCTTTGGCAGCAGCAGCAGCAGCAGCAGCCGCCGACACTTCTCATGCCGCTGACGTCGCCGCCGTAACAAGAACAAGGCGTAGGCGGAGGAGGGGGTGGAGGCGCCGCGACCCCGCCCACCCGAAACCAAACCGGAGCGCCTACAACTTCTTCTTCGCCGAGACGCACTCCAAGCTGAAAGCTCTCCACCCTCACAGGGAAAGAGAGTTCAGCAAGATGATCGGGGAGTCCTGGAGCAAGCTCAGTGAAGAGGAAAGATTGGTGCGTTGGCCTTCTTCTCTGATGGCTTCATATATACTGCCATGTACCATCATCATCATCATCATCGAGTGCCTCGCTTGTTGTGTTCCTACTCTTTCCCAGGTGTATCAAGATTATGGATTGAAGGACAAGGAGAGATACAAGATGGAGATGCAGGAATACAAGGAGAGATTGAAGCTTGCTCAGCCAAAGGAAGTGACGGTGGCAAGGGCTGAGCCATCATCAGAAGTTGTAACTGAAGAAGTGAAGGAATCAGCTGATGGGCATTAAATATGTAAGACAAGCTTAAAAGATGTATGCAATGGATGCATTTTAAGGTAGATCAAGATACCATGTTTTGGTGAGAGGTTTCATCTAAAGGTCAAGGATGGTGCCAAATTCTAAGTCTTTAAAGATTAGCTAACTTGAGAGCTGCTTTTTCTAAGCTTCCATGAAAGATTAGTAGCATTGGCTAGTAAATCTTTAAGATCTATATAAATATTCTCGAGGTAGAAGGGAGGATCTCAAGTCACAGGTGAGGATGTGTATGAACTGTTGTGCTGAATCTGAGAAAGTCTCGAATGATGTTAAGCTCATGGTGGTAATCATTAATATTCCAAAAGAACAGTTTAGAGCTTCTGATGACTCTTTTAATGTTATTATCAGAAAATCCAAGTATTCTTGAGACACATGAAAGGGTGTTGATCAGTAGATGGAGTCCAAGTATTTGTTACACGTGATCCGTAGACCTCAATCTCGAGTGAGAAAAGTTATAATATCTCAATTAATTTTATATCAGAAGTCAACAAGATCTAATGAAATTGCTAGGTTAATTAATTTATCAAGCTCGAGTCATATTGATAGGTTAATTAGTGATGATGTTTTAATATCTCGATGTAAGATTAATCGGGATATTATAAAAAGTAGTCTATCGAAGAAGTTTTACTCGGTATGATATGTATTGGTATGTTATGTCAAGGTGTATCAATCGATATGTCTCAGTAACGATCGAAAAATCCGAGACGATATCGATCGGTATACTTTGGTATCAATCAAAACATTAATATCATCCCGTAGAAGATGGTCCGTATATCCCGTAGAAGATGGTCCGTATATTAATCTTTTTGGATCAGTATGTATTATCTGTATCGGATGGTATTATCTCTATTTACTTCTATTATTTGTTTTACGAAATCATCCTTCGTCTCCTTCTCTCAATGTTGCTTTCGTTACGAGATCTCGTGATAGAACGAAGACTACCTCCGTAATAAGAGTTAATAGTATCACATAGAAAAAATAAAAAATAAAAATATCTTTTGAAAAAACACAAAAACAAAGTTTTAGGAAGAACATCTTTGTATAAATATTGTGTCTATTATTTTTTGAATTTATATTTTTATTATTGATTACCTTAATTTTCTTTCTCCACGTGGAAGTTGGGGGAATATATTTATTGA